CAATGCCTTTGGCTCTGATAAAGCCAAACACATGGAGTCAGCTGTTAACATTCACCAGAGGTTTAGCTTTCTTCCAACTGCAGCCACTAGAATACAAAGAACCCAGAGTACAGGCAAAAAGGCCTCTTAAGCAGCTGTCACTCTTTACCCCACAGGGCCACCCTCCCTTGGCCCTTATTAGTTCTGGCTGTATGCACAGTCCCATCGAGACTGGCCATCCACTGCCGTCTCAGGATACGGCATCCCGAAGCCTGCAGACTCGGGGTCCGCCATGGGGAACCGACTGATGGCAGAAAGCCTGGCTGAAGGCACACGGAGCAGACAGCAGCACAGAGGCAATGCCTCAGGGACATGAAAGAGGCCACATGACCCTTCCCAAGCCATGTTGAAGAAGCCAAGCAGTGTGCCACCCACACAAGATGTAAAATAATGTTTTTCCTCGAAAAAGCTTCAATGACTGCTTTAAAAAAGTACATGGAATATTAATAAATGAGGCTTTGATGAGGGTTGAGGTCAGTAATTCCCCCATTTATGTATCTTTGTTTATTTTAGCATAGACATACTGCCAGACCAATGAGAATGAAGCAGCCACGCACAGAACAGCGTGGAATCCAGCAGAACTTGGAGCCCCCATCTGCACGTGAACACATGGTGACTATTGCACTGCCTGCTCAGCATAAACAGAAAACTCAAGTGACCAAGTGTCTATGAGTTTGACCATTTTCCTGTTACAAATTATTCAAGTTTGTTTCCTCATTTATACATTAGGAATAATAACACCCCCTACAAGGCTTTGTTGCAGGCCTTCAATTAGGCATGTCAAGCCCCTGAACAGCACCTGGCATACAGTAGACAGGTAACAGGTAGAAGTTTTTGTTGTTATTATACTTCATTTTAATTTGTTTTCAGAATCAGAATCTCAGAATCAATCACCATTTTTTCTTATAACATTAAATCATCATTTTCGCACTCCATCTCTGTCACACTTTCACACACACAGTATATATATAATATAATATATATAAATATTATATTAATATTAATTATTATAAATATTATTATATTATATTTATATTATATAAATATTTATATTATATAAAATATTTATATTATATAAATATTATTATTAATATTAATATATATAAAATTAATAACTGAAAAGTTCTACCTACTTGTGCCAGTCACACCTCTCTGGAATCCCCTGCCGCCTGCCTGTAGGTTCAGGCCTATTTCCGGGCCCCCAGACCTCAACCCCCATCCCCCACTCTGCCCTGAGGGCTGGGGTACCAGGCAGGGCCTCTCCTGCTTTAGAGAGGAGACAGCTGGGCCCCAGTTCACAGACAGGCAACAGACCTCATACTGGGCCACAGAGTTCACTTCCAGGAACCTTGTGGAGAATGGGGGAGGAAACCAGCCATTCTAGGGAACAGCCCCCCAATCAGGTTTTTCATCTGCACCCAGCTTGGAGGTAGAATGTATGGGGGTCCCTGCTCGAAGAGGATCCCCTTCTCTCATCACCTGATTTCCATTGCCTGCCCTTCCTTTCAGAGACAAAGGCTTGCATTCCACAATTAGGGACAGAGGTTTAAAATGCAAATTCACGGAGGAGTTTGCATTCCCTTGTGAAAGAGTTTCCACTTGGGTGTTAATTATTTCCACCTCCTTCCTGGGCTGGGCAGGGAGAGAGGAAGAAAGCCTGGGTGGGGCCAGGGGCCACAAGTGGGGGCCAAGGATGGAGGTGGGGGCGTCTCCTTAACCCCCTCCTCCCCACTCCCATCTCTCCCTGTTCTGCAAAGGGCCAGACAAGTCAGAGATGTCCCCACCTCCACTCCGCTGGGTCTCTGCAGCCATTCCCCTGTCACCATCTCTGTCACATGCACTTCTCCAGGCAAAGAAAGCTGGCAGAGACACAGAGGGGCCAGAAACATCACCACCTGCAGGTCTTCTGCTTCACAAAGCCTGACCACACTTGGAGGAGGTGTGGATCCACATCCCAGAAGGGAAGATCCAAGAAGCCCAGGCTAATTCTATCTGAAGAATCATCCGGCTGGGTGGGATGGGCACAGACATGAGCAGGTTGAAGGGTCTGGTTCCCTGTTGCCCAGAAAGTAGGACAACAGAGTGGAGTCACCAGTGGTGAGACAGCATGCCCCACCACGGTGACCAGAATCAACTAACCCAACAAATGATACCTGATATTTATGTATTTTTTGCCTTAAAAATGGCAAAAGTAACACATACTTATTGTAAACATTCAAACATTGCGGAAGAGTATAAAAGTAAAACTACACCTCCCCAACCAGAGTTTAGTATAGATTCTTTCAGAACTTTAAATATATATATTATAAATAATACATAATCAAATACAGTTTTTTACAATAATGAGACCACATTATACATTTTGTCCTGTAGCTTACTCTTTTTCTCCACTCAGTAATATCCTGTGCATATCTTTCTGTATCAGTATATTTGACACCTATAGTTAATATCAGTAGTTTAAATAAATACCTTATAAAAAACTGTTCTAGTTCTTTTCTCTGATTCTAAAAGTAGCACCCATTCAAGGTAGAAAACTTGGAAGCATACAAAAGTATAAGGAAGAAAACAGAGGCCCCTGTCGTCATCCCAGCACCACTGTGCCCAGTTCGGTCTGCATCCTGAAGGAATAGTGTGGTCCAGCCAGAGCCCTGAGAGGCAGGGGGATCATACAGCAGCAGTAATGATGGCAGCTAGTGTGTGTGTCTCCGCAGGAGCTTGGCACAGGAGCATGTGGTAGCTTCAGCACTTAGCACAACCTTGCAACGGGGTGTGGCCTAGGGTGCAGACACAGGGCCTCCAGGGTCCATCCATCCCTGATACCACAGAGCTGATGCTGCCCACTTCTTGCAGGAGTGGTCACTGCCCTTACTATTCTACAAACCTTTTAGCTGGTTTCTTTTTCCCTAGGAATATATTAAAGTTCTTCAGTGGTTGACTCCTGTTGGCTGACCCATCTCCCAGCCTCCTGGACTGTTAGCTCTGCGAGCCTCAGGACCATGTCCTGTTTGCCTGCACTGCACCCAGCACAGGACCAGCTCCCAGCAAATAAATACTTGTAGAATAAATGAATCAAGTAAGCCAATCTGCACCCACCACCTCCTGGCTTTGCTTATAACATCTCCCCTGCTTTAGCACCTTTCTCCCCTCACACTGTGTTGACATTAAGGGCCTGCTCATTTCCTCCAAGACTTCCCTGGCAGGCTCACCTCCCTCTACTCAAACCAGGACTCATCTCTTTATGTTTTGATTTTTGCCAGCCATTCACTGGTGGACCAGGATTCACAGCCCCATCCACCGTTTTTTTTTTCTTTTGGAAAGCTGAGCCAGGGGGTACTGAATGGTTATATTGATGCTTTACTCTCAAAGTGGAGGTTAGGAGCTTGCCTGTATGGTCTGTGTCTGCCACACTTTCTCTAAGGCTTAGTTTCCTCGTCTGTAAATGAAGGGATTGCCCTACAATAATTCTATGGTTTCTTCTGCACATCAAGTTTTATAATTCCGGACTTCTATTTCCATTCATTACATACAATCTTTCAATCTGATAGGAAGTCTCCCCTCCTGTGTTTAGAACTGATTTTCAAGAAACATTCCTGAGCTTGTTAATTAGTCTTTCTTGCTCTGTATCATAGTTGGAACTGAACATGTGTGGACTTCTGAATGACTTGGTAAAAGCTGGTGATGACTCCTTCTCCCATTCCTTTTCGATTTTTCCCACAGAAGTTCTGGCTTCTGCTGCCTGAGGATCTAGCCCTGAAGCTGATGCTACTAGCATTGTCAAAAAGATCTATAATTTAAGATTTCTTTTTTTCTCCCTTTTCCCACCACCCACAGCTCCAGTTACACTGGTCATAATGTTCCTTTCCATGGGAAGCCTTGTTTGTCACCTTCACCCAGCTAGAGTAGTCCCTAAACTGGTGTAGGAAATATGGTATGTTTAATTCAGTTCTATTTCTGGGATTTCTATCTGGTTCTTTTTCATATCGGCTACATTTTTTAGAGTTTATTATTCCCTGCAAATATGTTCAAGTTTATAATTCACATAATAAACAAACTTGCTTTATAATCTGTCTCATGATAAATTTACTACTGAAAGAGGTGCAAGTGTGTTTCTGCTATTTGTTATTTCTCTTGATTTTTACTCCTGTCTCATTTTCCTTGTGCTAGCCACAACCTGAAGGGATAAAGATGCTTTATATGACACAGAAACAAAACTCCCCTATCTGTCTTAAGCCCAGTAATTCACAATCCTCTTAATGCAGGACTAAAGGATGTGTGTTGGAAATATATGGGTAAGCCCATGATCATCTGTCAAGGCCTGTTGGACCTCAGTCTGCTGAACTTTTGATCTCATCTCTTTGTGGGACAGACTTCCTATGACCTTCCTTCTTTGTCCTTAGCTATAACTCATCCACTGCCCTTAAGCTTACCTGATAACTGTATGTGATATTTGTAAACATTGTCACATCCATTACTAGTGTGATTCTCCCTGCTATCCTTTGAGATAGGCAGAACCACATATTTTTATCCCCATTTTCCAGACAAGATAGCAGTCTCAGTGAAGTCCAATGTCTTGCCCAAAGTCAAAAGAGTAAACATGCTACTCTCTGCCTCCATGTAGCATTTCTTCATTGATGGATGGATAGTGAGTCTACCCGTGCCCATGATTACTGACTTCCCAAGTCACTGTACTTCTTGCCAAGAGACATTTCCTTCCAGCAATAGGGTTGAAAAAAATGACATTATAGGAATGAGCCACACCTTCCCAGGTCACTTGAATTGGCTGGAGGGTGACAGCATCTCCAGCTGGGCCTTTAACTCTCTCTCAGTGAGGTCAGGGTTCCCACACCCAAGCAACCCAGATTTCTTATGATTTGTCTTGTGAGAACTCATGTGATTTCTCTTCTGTCCCCTGAGTGAGAGGAGGAGCAATCATCCAGGAGAGATGGAAGGAAGGAGGAGGGACAGACCTCATTAACAGGAGCTGGGGAACTGGACCTGTTGGACTTGGAGCCATTGGAGCTGGAAGGCCCTAGAGAAATGTTGCACCTACTTGCAGAAATCTTTACAGCAGGAAGAGGGAGAGACAGGCCACTGAATCCTAGAAAGTGCCCGCCATAATCTGCAAGTGGACATTTTTGAATGGCTGGAACTCTCCCCTGGGGTGTGAGAGGTAAGGAACAGTAAACACCACTTTCAAAGCTTTCCTGGCCTCTCTGTCAAGCTGCTGGCTGCTGGAATGTGAGGACTGAGGGATAAAATGGGCTAGGCATTTTTTTCCATGAAGAAATCTGATAGGGATAAAAGAGACAGGGATTCCATTAGAGCTGTGAGGGCCACTGAACCCCATGAGAGGGTGTGTGGCACCAAAGTCAGATAGACTGGGTTCATGTGCCAGCTCACCAGTGACTGGTGGGGTGACCTTGGGCAACTTATTTCAGTTTTTGAACTCTAGTGTCTTCATCCACAAAAAGGGGTGATAAGAACATGAGCACCCATTTATAGGATGGTGTAGAATGAAGTGGCCTAAAGCCTATTCAGTGCATGTACCTTCATTTCTTCATTTTACGGTACAGTCACTGTGTCCAGACAGGTGGCCTGCCCAAGGTCATCAGGAAAGGTTGTCTGAAGGGGAGTCACTAGGGTTAAGCACTTCTTTGGAATTTTAAAAAATTTCTCAAGGATTCACTTTTCTTATCTGTAAAATGAGAATAACACATAGTCTCCATACCTTATCTAAAACCCCTAGGGCCAGATTTTCAAACCTTAGAATGTTGGGTGTAAATACCAACCTCTAGAGGGGCCTGGGGCAATACCAGTAATCAAACACAAAAGTATTTCTGCAGCAAAATGAGGGTATTTAAATTAAGTGGGAGAAATAAAAGTCGCAGACAGCTTCATGTTGGTTCAGATTAGAGTTTACTAACCTGCTAACCTTAGGTCTTGCTGAGAAGAATTTTGGTTTTTACAGCTTTGAAATTTCAGATTGAGGACCTGTGATACCTACTCCAAATGGTTTGGAAAGTTCTACAAGATGACCCACATCAAGTGGCTGGCATATGTGGGAGCCCTATATTAAACTTAACTACCATTCTCAGCAAGTCCTGTGCTCAACCACGGCACTACAAGCTGTTAAGTCATGGAGAGCATCTGTGTGGCAGGCAACAGTCTCAGAAAGCCTCGGAAAGATGTCCTGCCCTGAGCATAGCATGCCCTTCCTGCAGGGCTGAGGAAGGAGTCAATGCCCATGGAACCTCCCATATCACCAGGTGGAACCATGGGCTCTCTTCAAGCACTGTAAGTTTCTCCTGGGGGAGCCCTGGTTCTGGGCCTTTGGAGACTGTGCTTAAGGTTATTTTAATTGGGGAATAAGAGAATGATACTCTAAACCAGAGACTAAATCAAGGGCCAAGCAGTTAATGTAAAGGAACAAAGGGGCCCGGGTGTGGCCTTCAGTAAGGGACAATACCTGCCCATCCCAAAGGGAAGATGCCACCCACTTAGAGCTGTTGGTTGCCATGTGGACCTGGAAGTCTTGTACTGCCCAACTTTTTGAAGAGAAGTCAAAATCTGAAATACGTGAAATGTCCTGACTTTTACTAATTGGCCACTAATGTTTTTAAAGACTCTACAATCACAACAAAATACATTTGTGGACCTCTGATCTAAATAATCATAGTAAACATAGTTTAATTAAGAATCTGCTGTGTGTTAAGGGGTGCCCTCCAAGTACTATATGCCTTATACTTAATCCTACTGCTACCTTATGAAGAGGAAGCTATTAATGGCATTTTTCAGAGCAGGAAAATTGAGGCTCAGATTACAGCAGTAGATAAAAATGGTTAATGTCTTACAAGTCAGTAAAACTGTAACCTTTGGCGTTCTTATTTCCACAAATATAAATCATTTACATCCCTCCTGGAAAAACAATTTATCAGTCTTCTACAAGTTAATACCCAAAGTTACAGAGTCTAGACCTTAAGCAATAGATGTTTCAGTCAGCTCAGGCTGCCATAATAAAATACCATAGCCTGGGTGGCTTAAACAACAAAACTTTATTTTCTGTTCTGGAGGCTAGATGTCCAAGACCGAGGTTCTGGCCGATGCAGGTTTCAGTGAGGGCTCTCTTCCTGGCGTACAGATGGCCCCCTTCTTGCTGTATCCTCACATGGCCTTTCTCGGGTGCATGTGCTTGGAGGTGGCATGTCGGGGGGAGGAGAGATCTTTGTGGTTTCTTCTTATAAGGACACTAATCCTATCAGATACGAGTCCACTCTCATTTAATCTCAATCTGTTCTCTAGAGACCACATCTTAAAAGACAGTCATGATGAGAGTGAGAGTTCATGTATGAACTTTAGGAGCCCACAGACATTTAATCTACAGGTAGTAAATAGTAAATCAAAGAAAATGATAATTCCCTGCAACATCAGATGATCCCTAAGTGAGTTTGTTAGACAATTCTCAAGTATAATATTGAAACAAGAGCATGCAATAACTTTTTACCTTATTTCCTAATTTTGAAATTTTTTTAGTAAAAACTTTGAAAGAAAATTTTAATGAGCCATCACTTGATAACTCAGGAAAGCTGTTTTGTTCAAACAAAAATAAAGTTAGAGCTGAAAATCACCACAGAAACACTAGCAAAACTTTATCCACTGATCCCCTTTAAAATATTTTTTGTATCCATCACCACATGTTTCTACCATGATAGCACTTCTTTAGGACAGGCTGGAATTCATGATTTTAGCTTCTCTTTCACTGGTTACATTTTAAATTGGTGCTTCTTTTTTGAGTCTCTGTAGCCCTCTTACTAAGATTTTTGCAGTCCTCTAATTTTATTCAATAGACTCCACATTTATTAAGTACATATCACTGTGCCAGGCATGGTCCTTGGGCCTTTTAAATATGAGTCTTCCACTCAGTCCTCCCACTGGTTCTGTGAGCTAGGTGCCATTGACCCCCATCAACTCTGGTGGCCTTTGTACTGCTTCAGTGCTACAGTATTTCCTGGGAAGACTGTAATAGTGATATTTCTTAATTAAACAAAGGTTTATTGAGCATTGAACATCATATTGCTAGATACTAGAAATAAAACAATGAGTACGATCAATAGAGCCCCTCTCCTCACAGAACTTACAATCAAAGAGGTAGCTTGTCCTATTCATTTCGTGTCACTTTCCTTCACTTTCATATAGTCACACTTTATGAATTTATCTCAGGGTCTTAGATAAGTACTGGGCTTGAGTTCTTTAGTCCTTGAAATCTGACACACAGGCAATTTTTCTAGGAAGAACAAGGGCAGGGCCATGGCCAGAGTCTCCTAGACAACTGAGGATGCAGTTTCCCAGTGGCACTGGTGTCAAATGCCTCTACTGTTGAATTAAGCCAAGTCGCTGATGCATGAGAAAGGAATCTCCAAGAGTGTTTCTTAAACAAGCACTGTCTTCCTGGGGCAGTCCACTCCACTGGAATCCTTTCTGCCTCACTAAACGGTTCATTGCCAAATATTCTTCCATTCCACAACAATGGCTTTTCAAAGATGATGTCCAAGAAAAACAGGAATCCCTTTTATATTCATTTTCTTGCCTTGCATCATTTCTCTAGCTCTCCTGATTAGGATGACAAGGAGAAGGACAACCACATCCATATAAATTCCACAGATGGACAAAAACCTCAGAGGATTGACTGTCCTCTACTAACAAGCAACAAGAATCCAGGGATACTATAAAGCCAAAAGTCAAGACTTGGCTACCATTTCCAATCAGAAAGCTATTTCCAGATTCATTAATTGAACTTCTACGTGGTGGGAATTTAACAAAAGTTTGGTAGATGGATGGGTAATTAAATAAACTAATGCTCGGGGAAGTTCTTGACTCAGTTTTCCTCTGCTCCAGGGCAAAGTGGGAAGATTTTTTTTGGTCTAGCCAAGTATAGATTGGGCAGTTTTAGGAATTTGGGTTCAAAACCAAGGAAATATCTAGGAGCTTGCTAGTGCCCTTCAAAAACAGAAGGAAATTGAACTTGTTGGAGGGAGTTGATCATATCACTGGGCTGAACACAAATGAGTGTGCCCTGACTCATACCCATGAGTTCAGTGTTCTTTGAGCTATTTTTATTCTCTATTTTGTATCCATAGCATTATTTCCCAATCCTGAATAACTGGGATTACTTGATTATATTTAGTATATGTCTTCTCTGGAGGTTTTATTGTCATATTATTGTTCTCATTGGCCTGTTTATGCCATAGAATGGAAAACACTACATACATTCTGAAAAGGACAGTGTGTTTTTTGCATGAGGAAAAGAAAGAGTCATAATTGGTTTTGATTGTTAAACATTAAGAATAGGCCGCGTCATCTCTATTTAAACTCAGTGAAATGAGAAAACGTTGTTCCAGCTTTGAATAAATAATCCGTATTGCCTAAGTAGAGTAATTATAAAGGGATAAATGGAGAAAAATGGAAGGAAAAATAAAGGTCATGATGCAGCTCATGAGAAGCAGGAGCTCCAGTCCTCACCACATTGCTAACAAGCTGTGTGCCCTTAATCAAGTCAGTTAACCCCTCTGCCCCTTGTTTCTTCATCTACAAAGAAGGGGATGAATCCTGAGGATCTCTTCCAACTTCAAAACCTTGGTTTTCCAACCAGAATCTAGCTATTTACTAGCATTATGGGTTTTTCAAAGAAAAGCTTTTATAAAATCCCCTTTTCAGGTAGAAACTAGCCTTATTCTCCCTCTTTGTTTGTATCATCCCTTCCATTCAGCCCTGAGCAATCTTTCCTATTTCAGCTTCTTCAGTGGTGCTTCTCCTGTGGCCCTTGACTTTGTCTTCCTTTTTTCTTGACATGTTCTCCTGGCCATTCCTGCTGCTCACTGCAGTGTCAGTCTCAGAGGAAATGGGTAGCAAGAGTTGTGAACCTCGATGTTCAATCAGAACAGATAAATAACAGGTCTATGGAAAAGGTACTTGAGGTATTTGCCTTTGAAGTAACTGTCCTTAGCCGAAGTTTCACACAGACACAGTCTAATATTTGAGTTTTTAGAATGGAACCTTCGTGAGAATGCTTTTGACTCTGCAATTTGCAATTCCCCTCTATGAATGCACTTGCATGAGAGTGCAAGGCTGTAGGTTCAGAAATGACTTCTGTAGCATTGCCTAGAAGAGTCAAAATGGAAACAATCTAAGTGCTCTGCAATGGTTAGAAAAATCCTGGTACATCCAGGCCACAGGCAGTCCATTTGGGCTCTGCAACATTTGAAAACTCATGTATTTTGTGGGTGTTTCCAAGATTTGGACATTTTGATCACAGGCCCCTTTAAGGGACCTAAAACTGTAACACTGTCTTTGTATGGAGCAGAAACATGAGCTTCCTTTTTAGATATTAGTAGGCAAAGGCCATGATGCTCTACTTCCCTTTCTAAGTAAGTGTTTATGTCTATAAACTTCTCCTAGAGGTTAAAGGTCTGACACATGCTGTCTTCCTGATCATAAATGCAGTCTTTTTTCAGATTTGCTGACCTTTACCAAGCTTTACTCTCAGTGCTGGGTGCTGAGACCAGAGAGGTTACCAGATTCCTGACCTTGAAAGGCACACAGAGACCCAAACAGATCCTCACAGTGCAATGTGGTGTGTGCTGTGAAAGAGGTAACCTTATGGAGATGTGGGAATGTGGGGCAGGGCAGTGGGGCAACCTGATCCAGGCTGCCAGGGGACTTCAGGATACCGTGAGGGAGTGGGGGCAGTGAGGAATCGTTTCTCAGAGAAGATGACCCAGATCTCAGGCCCATTAGAGCCTGGCCTTTCTGAGATCACTCATTCTTGTTAGTTGGTGCCTAACTTCCCCACCCTACATCCTTTAAATCTGCGTAAGATTCCTAATTCTGCCGGTAACTCCCTTTTTCCCCCCTTTTTCTGTTTCCCCTCAGCAGGATGCACCCAGCCTATTCCTCCAAATCCCTCCCTACTTCCCATTCTAATTATCTAAGACAGTGTGGCTAAGTATTCAGCTTTAATTATGACACTTGAGCCTCGGTTTCCACATATGTAAAATGGCATTAATCATCGTTCCTAAGCAACAAAAGCAAAAATAAACAAATGGGACTACATCAAACTAGAAAGCTTCTGTACAGGAAAGGAAACCATCAATAAAATGAAAGGCAACCAATTGAATGGGAGAAGATATTTGCAAACATATAGCTGATAAGGGGCTAATATACAATATATATAAACAATTTCTATAAGTCAATAGCCAAGAAAAAAAAAGAAATCCAATTAAAAAATGGGCAGAAGATCTGAATAGACATTTTTCCAAAGAAGACACACAGAGGGCCAACAGACACATGAAAAGATGCTCAACATCTGGGACTAAAAGATAGTCCATATATGTACACAGATGTACGAAGCGCTAGCCTAGTTCCTGACGCATATGTGCAGTACATGTTAGCAATTATTATTAGCATTGAACTAGCACAGTGAATTCTTGATGCCAACACAATAACTAAAGCTTATATTTATATAACATCTCATCAATCATAAGATGTTTTTTCACATATTATCATCATACTTGACTTTCATAATAGCCCCATGTTAAGACCATCCTGCCCCACAGCTGAAAAACTGAGTGCCAGCATCATATTGGAGATGTTGCTACTAGGTGGAACCCTTGTCTTTCAACAGACGGTCCTAGGTTTAGAGTTATGTCCTAATTAGGCATATCAGACAACGTGAGTTTATATTGCAAAATTGAGTCTGTTCCTGAAACTCCTTTAAAATCTTCAAAGTTCTCTCAGAAATGAATCAAGAAACATACGATTTGCTATGTAACAAGGTAGATCAAGAGGCCTAAAATTGTGTTCCAAAGACCCAGAGTGGAATTACCCTTGCCTTGATAGCTCAGGGAACCACTATGATCCAGGCATGTACTAGGTCATAAAACCTGGATGGACTTGGCTCACCCGCTGGCCCTTCAGGTCTTCTCACTGAAGGAGGTCTGAAAGCTGTATTTGCTTCCTAATTCTTAACCGTGTTCTCCTGAGGTGATGTTGCCTAAGAAGTGCCAAGATATGTGATGAATTATTGCATAAAAATTGGGAAAATAAGTTTCTGAAGAAGAAAGCATCTGAAATATGTTTAATGTTTTCTATTTAAATATTTGATTTTTGTTGTTTTTTAATTGCAGTAAAATAACATAACATAAAATCCACTATTTTAATCATTTTAAAGTGTGCACCTTCATGGCATTTAGTGTCATGAAACATACTTTACAGTGTTGTGCAACCATTGCTTCTATCTAATTCTATAACATTTTTATCACCCCCCGAAAGAAACCCTGTACCCATTAGTGGTCACTTCCCATTCCCGCCCACCTCCCAACTGCTGGCAACCACTAATCTGTTTTTTGTCTCTCTGGATTTACCTATTCTGGACATATTTGGAATCATATAATGTGTGGTCTTCTGTGACTGGCATCTTTAATTTAGCATCATGTTTTCAAGGCTCATCCATGTTGCAGCATGTATTAGTCCTTCATTCCTTTTTGTGACTTAATAATATTCCATTGCATGGACATATCACATTTTATGGACCCATTCATCAGTGGGTGGGTATTTGGGTTGTTTCACATTTTGGCGACTGTGAACAGTGCTGCTGTGAATATACATGTACAAGTCTTTGATCATCTGTCTTTGCTTCTTTTGGATATATGCCTAAAAGTAGGATTGCTGGGGCATATGGTAGTTCTCTTCAATTTACTGAAGATGTTTTCTTTTTATCAAAGACTAAGCTAGGAAAAAGTTTTCTTAAGATGAACAGTATGAGCTTTGGGTGGGACCAAAGAAAGCCAACTGAATCCCAGGTCTTTTCACAAGCATCCAGTTGACCCTGTTCACCTTTCTTTCATGCAGTGGGTAGAAGAGCAATACTGTAGGAACCACAGCATTACTGGTAAGTATTTATGTGTGCAATAGTTTGTGTTCCAGGCTCAAAAAAAGAATTCCTAATTCTTTCATGAGGCTATGGTTTTACTTATTACATTCCAGGTTCAAAATAAAAGTTTGCAAAAAGGTCATGTTGAATTAATAGCTGACTCTTGCTAGCTCCCAGCCCCACCTGCCCATCGAATTAGAACTTATTTGACATCTCCCCTCTCCCCCAACCCCTATTTTCCTAAATTCCCAGGACATCTGGTCTCCATACATACAGCAATGAGTCATCTAATGTTCTTCTGCCTCTGCTCACATCCTCCTGTCCCCACCATACCATTGCCCTCCACAGGGATGCTGTTGGCAGCCCCCTTGGACCTGCAGGGTTGCCCCGAGGTCTGGGAAGAATGCAAGGGGTGCTGGGGAGACCAGCCCTCTCCCTGGTCAGTGTAACATATTGTCCCTTGGGCTGGGAACCAACCATGCTCAGGCACAATCTCAAAAAGTCTCCTGTAAGGACAGCTCCTTCCTCCTGCACAGGGCCAATTTCTGCCACAGGGGGACTGAAACAGCAGTTACTTCCTCCATTCTTCTTCCACCCTAGGCACTCCCAAGAGGAAAAAACAACAGCCAGAAAACTCTCTACTCTCCTCCTGCAATCAAGAACCAAACTGCTGTGCACATCAACTCATGCAAACAGGCCTGGGTAGGGGCCACCCAAATCCCCTCTCTGCTGATCTGGCTCTAGCTCGGCCTGGACAGCAGCTTTCACATTCTGTCAGTCATTCTGCAATCTTGTGAGCTAGCTAGCATTATCCTATCCCATAAGATTGCCTTAAATTAGATTTAGAACAGGCCAAGCCTATCCAGCAAGCAGCAAATTTATTGAATCGCCATCCATCCTCCACAGCCAGGGATTTGATTATCTTAAGGCACATTGCTGGAATGCCTGGACACCCGCATGTAACTTCCCTTTCTGGCTTCCTTTTTCTTGCTAACTGTTTGAGAATATCCCTGCTGATACCCTATCTTTGCTGGCTATGGTCTTTTATGGCCCCTGATAGGATCCCAGACCACCCCTGGTATGCAAAAGTTTTAGACAACTTAGGGTCTGTGAAAACAGATGCCAATTTTGGCTCCAGAAGGCTAGGATGGTAGGAAACGTTAGGGTCTGGCTTAGTTGTGTTGTTTACTCTGGACGGCAGGAAGAAAAAGAGGTCCTGGAAAACCTGAACGTAAAAGCCTGCCATCATGCCATCCATTATGGGTGGAGGAGGGGCCTTTGAGATTTAGATAAACCTGGGTCAAAAGGCTCGCCTGATTTTATCCATCTTTTTAACGGGAACTCGGGAGACATAGGAAGCCATGACCTCTGTGCGGGCATCCTAGTATCCAAACACAGGTGAGGAAACAGAGACTCAGAAAGGCTGAACAACCTGCCAAAGTTCACACAGCTGGGCCGTACTAGGAAAAGGTGGCTCCAAACTGGAAGGTTCGAAGGCGGAGCCCTTGCTTCAGGCCAGGATGGTCACAGAACCTTTTCTCAAGCTGAAAAGCTACGCTCATCATGACCTCAGGCTGCTGCAGTTTCTAGGACCTGCAAAGAGAATGCCTGGGGGTCCTGGACTTGGGACTATGGGAAATAATTACAATTTTCTTTTCCTAAATCTCTAGCTGAAATTTAGCATTTCCTTTAATTATCAACAAAGGCAATAAACTAAAACATCCGCAGAACCTGAGGCTTTGTCACCAAAATCACAGATACTTTCAGCTCACGCTTCATATCAACTTACTGCACATATCTCAAGATATTGTTTACACTCATCACTGTTTCAAAATTAAGGCAGGTGTTAGGCCTGCTGCTAGAAGTTATTTACCGCATTAGTAAGGAGCTGATATAGTTCTATGCTACAATTTATTTTTAAAATATATATTGATAACGGTATAACAATATAGTTGTTT